CCAGTTTTATTGCTTCTTTAATCAGCAAAACAGTTTTCAGCTGTGCTAACATAATTGCAAAAGTGTTTTCTAATGATCAATTAGCTTTTTCAAATGATAAACTTGAATTAGCAAACACAACGTACCATTGGAACACAGGACTGATGGTTGCTGATAATGGGCCTCTGTACGCCCATCAAGGGTGACAATAATTTCAGACTCCACTGTATATATCACATTGGGCTTTACCTACAGTGGGGCAAAAAAGTATTTAGTCAGCCACCAATTGTGCAAGTTCTCCCACTTAAAAAGATGAGAGAGGCCTGTAATTTTCATCATAGGTACACGTGAACTATGACAGACAAAATGAGGAAAAAAAATCCAGAAAATCACATTGTAGGATTTTTTGTGAATTTATTTGCAAATTATGGTGGAAAATAAGTATTTGGTCAATAACAAAAGTTTCTCAATACTTTGTTATATACCCTTTGTTGGCAATGACACAGGTCAAACGTTTTCTGTAAGTCTTCACAAGGTTTTCACACACTGTTGCTGGTATTTTGGCCCATTCCTCCATGCAGATCTCCTCTAGAGCAGTGCTGTTTTGGGGCTGTCGCTGGGCAACACAGACTTTCAAATCAAATCAAATCAAATCAAATTTTATTGGTCACATGCGCCGAATACAACAGGTGCAGACATTGCAGTGAAATGCTTACTTACAGCCCTTAACCAACAGTGCATTTAATTTTAAACAAAAAAAGTAAGAATAAACAACAACAAAAAAAGTGTTGAGAAAAAAAGAGCAGAAGTAAAATAAAGTGACAGTAGGGAGGATATATATACAGTAAAATAAAGTGACAGTAGGGAGGCTATATATACAGGGGGGTACCGTTGCAGAGTCAATGTGCGGGGGCACCGGCTAGTTGAGGTAGTTGAGGTAATATGTACATGTGGGTAGAGTTAAAGTGACTATGCATAAATACTTGACAGAGTAGGAGCAGCGTAAAAAGGATGGGGTGGGGGGGCAGTGCAAATAGTCCGGGTAGCCATGATTAGCTGTTCAGGAGTCTTATGGCTTGGGGGTAGAAGCTGTTGAGAAGTCTTTTGGACCTAGACTTGGCACTCCGGTACCGCTTGCCGTGCGGTAGCAGAGAGAACAGTCTATGACTAGGGTGGCTGGAGTCTTTGACAATTTTGAGGGCCTTCCTCTGACACCGCCTGGTATAGAGGTCCTGGATGGCAGGGAGCTTTGCCCCAGTGATGTACTGGGCCGTACGCACTACCCTCTGTAGTGCCTTGCGGTCAGAGGCCAAGCAGTTGCCATACCAGGCGGTGATGCAACCAGTCAGGATGCTCTCGATGGTGCAGCTGTAGAATTTTTTGAGGATCTGATGACCCATGCCAAATCTTTTTAGTCTCCTGAGGGCGAATAGGCTTTGTCGTGCCCTCTTCACGACTGTCTTGGTGTGTTTGGACCATGATAGTTCGTTGGTGATGTGGACACCAAGGAACTTGAAGCTCTCAACCTGTTCCACTACAGCCCCGTCGATGAGAATGGGGGCGTGCTCAGTCCTCTTTTTTTTCCTGTAGTCCACAATCATCTCCTTTGTCTTGGTCACGTTGAGGGAGAGGTTGTTGTCCTGGCACCACACGGCCAGATCTCTGACCTCCTCCCTATAGGCTGTCTCATCGTTGTCGGTGATCAGGCCTACCACTGTTGTGTCGTCTGCAAACTTAATGATGGTGTTGGAGTCGTGCCTGGCCATGCAGTCATGCAGTCATGTCACTTTCATCTCCCTCCAAAGATTTTCTATGGGGTTGAGATCTGGAGACTGGCTAGGCCACTCCAGGACCTTGAAATGCTTCTTACGAAGCCACTCCTTCGTTGCCCGGGTGGTGTGTTTGGGATCATTGTCATGCTGAAAGACCCAGCCATGTTTCATCTTCAATGCCCTTGCTGATGGAAGGAGGTTTTCACTCAAAATCTCACGATACATGGCCCCATTCATTCTTTCCTTTACATGGATCAGTCGTCCTGGTCCCTTTGCAGAAAAACAGCCCCAAAGCATGACGTTTCCACCCCCATGCTTCACAGTAGGTATGGTATTCTATGGATGCAACTCAGCATTCTTTGTCCTCCAAACACGACGAGTTTAGTTTTTACTAAAAAGTTCTATTTTGGTTTCATCTGACCATATGACATTCTCCCAATCCTCTTCTGGATCATCCAAATGCACTCTAGCAAACTTCAGACGGGCCTGGACATGTACTGGCTTAAGCAGGGGGACACGTCTGGCACTGCAGGATTTGAGTTCCTGGCGGCGTAGTGTGCTACTGATGGTAGGCTTTGTTACTTTGGTCCCAGCTCTCTGCAGGTCATTCACTAGGTCCCCCCGTGTGGTACTGGGATTTTTGCTCACCGTTCTTGTGATCATTTTGACCCCACGGGGTGAGATCTTGGGTGGAGCCCCAGATCGAGGGAGATTATCAGTGGTCTTGTATGTCTTCCATTTGCTAATAATTGCTCCCACAGTTGATTTCTTCAAACCAAGCTGCTTACCTATTGCAGATTCAGTCTTCCCAGCCTGGTGCAGGTCTACAATTTTGTTTCTGGTTTCCTTTGACACCTCTTTGGTCTTGGCCATAGTGGAGTTTTGTAGTGTGACTGTTTGAGGTTGTGGACAGTTGTCTTTTATACTGATAACAAGTTCAAACAGGTGCCATTAATACAGGTAACGAGTGGAGGACAGAGGAGCCTCTTAAAGAACAAGTTACAGGTCTGTGAGAGCCAGAAATCTTGCTTGCTTGTAGGTGACCAAATACTTATTTTCCACCATAATTTGCAAATAAATTCATTAAAAATCCTACAATGTGATTTTCTGGAAAAAAAATCTAAATTTGTCTGTCATAGTTAACGTGTACCTATGATGAAAATTACAGGCCTCTCTCATCTTTTTAAGTGGGAGAACTTGCACCATTGGTGGCTGACTAAATACTTTTTTCCCCCACTGTATGGGGGATTGGAAGTGATGCAGACAATTACATTGATGAAAGTTACAATCCATCTGCAATATTAAAGCTGATCTACCCCCTAAAAAAACAACAACAAAAACATACAAATATGTGGATTAAAACTGCAATAATATTTCATGTTTTTTTTGGAACTTGAATAATCAGTTGATACTAGTATCAAATCATTAGGTAGATAAAAAGTCAGTGTGAAAAATGAAACCTTCTATAGTTGTACACATAGTATATGTACAATGCTCTGTTCAACTATTAAAGGCCCAGTACAGTTAAAAATTAGATGTTTCTGTGTTTTATTTACGCTGAACAAAAATATAAACGCAACAAGCGACAATTTCAAAGATTTGACTGAGTTAAAATTCATATAAGGAAATCAGTCAATTGAAATAAATAAATTAGGCCCTAATCTATGGATTTCACAACTGGGAATACAGATATACATCTGTTGGTCACAGATTTCTTTTTAAAAGGAAGGGGCGTGGAATAGAAAACCAGTCAGTATCTCATGCAGCGTGACACATCTCCTTCACATAGAGTTGATCAGGCTGTTGATTGTGGCCTGTGGAATGTTGTCCCACTCATCTTCAATGGCTGTGCGAAGTTGCTGGATATTGGCAGGAACTGGAACACGCTGTCGTACACGTCGATCCAGAGCATCCCAAACATGCTGAATGGGTGACATGTCTGGTGAGTATGTAGGCCATGGAAGAACTGGGAGATTATCATCTTCCAGGATTTGTGTACAGATCCTTGCGACATGGGGCTGTGCATTATCATGCTGAAAAATGAGGTGATGGCGGCAGATGAATGGCAAGACAATGGGCTTCAGGATCTCGTCACGGTATCTCTGTCCATTCAAATAATGTTCGTTGTCTGTAGCTTATGCCTGCCCATACCATAACCCCACCGCCACCATGGGGCACTCTGTTCACAACATTGACATCAGCAAACCGCTCGCCCACACGACGCCTTGCACGATACAGTTAAAACCGGGTTTCATCCGTGAAGAGCACACTTCCCCTGCATGCCACAGCATACACAGAGCAGCACACGTTGCCTTTAACTGCACATACAGAACTAACATCAGCAACATGCATGCCAGTCTTTCCTGGTTGAGGGTTTATGAGAGGTGAACTGCTTCTGTGCTAGATTTAATGAGAAATATTACTGTGACAAAAATTCTGCATAATCAAATAACATTCAGCTCAGACACCCATGCAGTACATACCCCAAAAGACATGCCACCAGCTGTCTCTTCTCAGTCCCCAAGTCCAAAACGAATTTGCGGCAACATACAGTTTTATACAGAACCATGAATGCATGGAACTCTCTTCCATCTCCAATTACTCAAGCAAACAGCGGAATTACCTTTAAAAAACAGATTACACAACTCATGGAATGGTGGGGACTGTGAGGGGACACTCACAAACACATGCACACACAGACCCACTAACACACATAATGTATTGTTGTTGCATTGTTTGTATAATTTTTTTGGGGTATAATACATTTCTGTGACTGTCCTTGTTTATCAGTGTATCAATTTTTTGTTAATTGTAATGTTTTGTGTTTTTTGTGGACCACAGGAAGAATAGCTGCTGCTCCTGCAAAAGCTAATGGGGATCCAAATAAACACATCAATAAACAAACAAATACCATTTTTGCTTGAGAAATTGCTCTTTGCTAAGAAGTTATTTTTGCTTCTTTTTGACCATTTTAATTGAAAACAATCACAATAATGTACTTAGTTGTTACCCAGAAATGATTTGATATTGAGATAGAAATGGCTGCATTTGACAATGAACAAGAGGCATTTGACTGTCACCTGAGAGTACAGTATGTATGATTCTGGTGCCAGATTGGCACACATTTTAATTCTGAAATGTGAATTACCTCAATATCAAGTGTCAGAGTGAAGGCAGTCCTTGTAGACATCCTGTTGTTGTTGCAATGACATAAAAAGGTACTACAGTATTGAGAGCCCTAATAATCACTGAGCTTTTCTTGGGCCTTTTCAGACAGTCCAGGTGTGGATGCAGGTCGGCGCTCCTGCGGCCTGCCGTGGAGTCTTCGCCTAGCAGTTTGAAAACATCAGCTCTCTCTCAGATCCATCATCTGGATATGCAGCATCTTGGCTCACTCCTTAAGCATGAATTTCAGGATCAGCATTGGCACGTAATATGCATGGCGCTGGTAGACAATCTAGGAGTGGGTGGAACAGATAATGACACTGTATGGTGAAACATGCAATTGAAAAACTATGTGATTACTCCTATGTATGTCTTTTTTTAAAAGGACACCACTGTTTTAGTAGCCTTTCCTTTCCCCTTGTTTTTCTCTGAATTGCTCTTGTATTTCCGGTATGTACTCTAACATGCAAAGCCGGGCCCCTTTGGGTTTGGGTTATTGCAATGCTTCCTGAACTTTGCCAGTGTATGCCCTCCTTGACTAAAGTAGAATATCCACCCCCGCCACTACCTATTATGAAAAACAAACTGCTGTCAAACATACCTTCTTGGTTTCAAATGTGGCACTGTTGAATGTAGCAGTGATGTCCTTGTCCTCCTAACTTTCCTCTGGATCATTAAACTGCTCTTCCTTAAAGGCTTCTTTGAAGTGATATTTATGATCCTTCAAGCCCTTGACAAAAATACTATCCTGAGTGTACACCAATCGCTCTATATTGATGTATTCTTTGTTTCTCTTCTCAACTTTGGCTGCCTGCTTCGACTGGATATCTTACATTTTAGTCTGATGAATTGTGTTGTGTGACTGATTGTTCGCTACATGTATGACTCAATAAACAACATTCTATCAATGATTATCCATTTTTACTTCACAACCATTATCCATGATGTAAAATATTCCATGTCACATTAACTCACCAAAGCCAGGCATCTGAGCTGAGGATAGCTTCAGAAACAAGCTTCACACACATCTCTAAACTCAACAAAAACAAAACAAAATGTTAATATATAGATTTGAAGGCCTGTTCCTGGTCAATATTCAACATTATGTCTATAGTTCCTCTCTAATATAGTGACACCATGCAATATCAATGCAAACTTCATCCTTCAGCATAGGAATTTTACAGTATATTGTCTAATAAGAATTCCCAATGATTAAACCACAATTTTCATCGGAATAAGACACCATTTGCATTAGATCAAATCAGAGCCATAAACTGTAAATAGAGAGTTAGGCCAGGTTTTAGATGTTAGCGCCCATATAGAACTTTATTCTTGAAATGTTGGTGATGTAACAATTGGAGAGTGCCTCTGACAGTTCCCTATGAAATGACCCGCTGTAAACAAGCAAAACAGAGCAGTAAATTTAACAGACGTTTTTATTGATTAGCATTCAGGATAGAAGTCTTTACTGTGTCGCTGTGTCAACAAATTGCATATCTGCCTTCACTGGACATCTTCATAGGTTTTGAAAACTATTAGAAATAAATAGCACAATGTGGAAGCGTTAATTATCACTTAGCAACAGCTATGGAGGAAAAACTGGAGCTCTCGGAACGTTCAACCGCATTGGCCTAACTCTATATACACTGAGTGTACAAAACATTAAGGACACCTGCTCTTTCCATGACATAAACTGACCAGGTGAATCCAGGTGAAAGCTATGATCCCTTATTGATGTCACTTGTTAAATCCACTTAAATCAGTGTAGATGAAGGGGAGGAGACAAGTTAAAGAAGTATTTTTAAGCCTTGACACAATTAAGACATGGATTGTGTATGTGTGCCATTCAGAGGGTGAATGGGCAAGACAAAAGATGGAAGTGCCTTTGAACGGGGTATGGTAGTAGGTACTGGTTTGAGTGTGTCAAGAACTGCAAAGCTGCTGGGTTTTTCACGCTCAACAGTTTCCCGTGTGTATCAAGAATGGTCCACTACCCAAAGGACATCCAGCCAACTTGATACAACTGTGGGAAGCATTGGAGTCAACATGGGCCAGCTGTGGAATGCTTTTGACACCTTGTAGAGTCCATTCCCGATGAATTTAGGCTGTTCTGAGGGCAAAGGGGGGGGGGGGATTATCTAAAAATACCACAATCTAGATTTAGGTTGTGAGTCAAAGTTCTACAAAGGTTATATGGATGTCATGGAGTCCTAGCAGTAGCCTAAGTAGAGAGCATCTGTACATTTTGTAAATTATTTTGTAATTAATACATTTGTATGTCATTTTTTACCTACAATCTTTTTGGTTTAAGAATTACCAAATAATATAGCTAATTAATATAATCAGAATGCACTACAGTGTTAAGACTGAAGCTGGCAAGTCATTTTCTTGTTTGGCTATTTAGCTAACGTTAGCTGGCTAGCTTTTTTGATTCCAATGCCAGCCAGTGTCCAGGGGTTGAGGATGGAGAGAAGCCGTGACTTAGCTCAAACTTAATCTGACTAAGATCTACTACAGAAAAGCCAGAGACAGCGAGACACCTTGATGAGACCGCACTTCCTGCCTGCCTTCAGACTTTCTCTCCCCGCTTGACCACCTTCCTCAGATGACCACTCAAGCCATTAACTTGACACTACAGCATACAATGACATTCTAGATGATTCGGTGCTTCCAACTTTGTGGCAACCGTTTGGGGAAGGCTCTTTCCTGTTTCTGTATGACAATGCCCCTGTGCACAAAGCGAGGTCCATACAGAAATTGTTTGTTAAGATCAGTGTGGAAGAACTTGACTGGCCTGCACAGAGCCCTGACCTCAACTTCATCGAACACCGACTGCGAGCCAGGCCTAATCGCCCAACATCAGTGCCCAACCTCACTAATGCTCTTGTGGCTGAATGGAAGCAAGTCCCCGCAGCAATGTTCCAACATCTAGTGGAAAGCCTTCCAAGAAGAGTGGAGGCTGTTATAGCAGCAAAAGGGGGACCAACTCCATATTAATGCCCATGATTTTGGAATGAGATGTTCGACGAGAAGGTGTCTACATACTTTTGGTCATGTAGTGTACCTCAAATGACCTTCAGGACATCCAAGGGCAGCTCTTCAAGTCCAAGGATGTGCTTTTGAACTGTGTGTTCATTTAGTCACTGAAAGTTATCAGTTCTCTCCCACAATGTACAGTGGGGGAAAAAAGTATTTAGTCAGCCACCAATTGTGCAAGTTCTCCCACTTAAAAAGATGAGAGAGGCCTGTAATTTTCATCATAGGTACACGTCAACTATGACAGACAAAATGAGGAAAAAAAATCCAGAAAATCACATTGTAGGATTTTTTATGAATTTATTTGCAAATTATGGTGGAAAATAAGTATTTGGTCAATAACAAAAGTTTCTCAATACTTTGTTATATACCCTTTGTTGGCAATGACACAGGTCAAACGTTTTCTGTAAGTCTTCACAAGGTTTTCACACACTGTTGCTGGTATTTTGGCCCATTCCTCCATGCAGATCTCCTCTAGAGCAGTGATGTTTTGGGGCTGTCGCTGGGCAACACGGACTTTCAACTCCCTCCAAAGATTTTCTATGGGGTTGAGATCTGGAGACTGGCTAGGCCACTCCAGGACCTTGAAATGCTTCTTACGAAGCCACTCCTTCGTTGCCCGGGCGGTGTGTTTGGGATCATTGTCATGCTGAAAGACCCAGCCACGTTTCATCTTCAATGCCCTTGCTGATGGAAGGAGGTTTTCACTCAAAATCTCACGATACATGGCCCCATTCATTCTTTCCTTTACACGGATCAGTCGTCCTGGTCCCTTTGCAGAAAAACAGCCCCAAAGCATGACGTTTCCACCCCCATGCTTCACAGTAGGTATGGTGTTCTTTGGATGCAACTCAGCATTCTTTGTCCTCCAAACACGACGAGTTGAGTTTTTACCAAAAAGTTATATTTTGGTTTCATCTGACCATATGACATTCTCCCAATCCTCTTCTGGATCATCCAAATGCACTCTAGCAAACTTCAGATGGGCCTGGACATGTACTGGCTTAAGCAGGGGGAAACGTCTGGCACTGCAGGATTTGAGTCCCTGGCGGCGTAGTGTGTTACTGATGGTAGGCTTTGTTACTTTGGTCCCAGCTCTCTGCAGGTCATTCACTAGGTCCCCCTGTGTGGTTCTGGGATTTTTGTGATCTTGGTTCTTGTGATCATTTTGACCCCACGGGGTGAGATCTTGCGTGGAGCCCCAGATCGAGGGAGATTATCAGTGGTCTTGTATGTCTTCCATTTCCTAATAATTGCTCCCACAGTTGATTTCTTCAAACCAAGCTGCTTACCTATTGCAGATTCAGTCTTCCCAGCCTGGTGCAGGTCTACAATTTTGTTTCTGGTGTCCTTTGACAGCTCTTTGGTCTTGGCCATAGTGGAGTTTGGAGTGTGACTGTTTGAGGTTGTGGACAGGTATCTTTTGTACTGATAACAAGTTCAAACAGGTGCCATTAATACAGGTAACGAGTGGAGGACAGAGGAGCCTCTTAAAGAAGAAGTTACAGGTCTGTGAGAGCCAGAAATATTGCTTGTTTGTAGGTGACCAAATACTTATTTTCCACCATAATTTGCAAATAAATTCATAAAAAATCCTACAATGTGATTTTCTGGATTTTTTTTTCTCAATTTGTCTGTCATAGTTGACGTGTACCTATGATGAAAATTACAGGCCTCTCTCATCTTTTTAAGTGGGAGAACTTGCACAATTGGTGGCTGACTAAATACTTGTTTTCCCCACTGTACATTATCGTAGTTTTGTATCATGGTCACCACTTTGTTGAGGGCTGAAATGATACCCAGAGCAAAGACAGAACAAACAACTCTGTGAGTGAAATATAATTTTGCTAGGGTATAAAGTTGCCAGCAGCCTTCTCTGAAATGAAACCATAAAGTGATAGATTTTAAACAGATACATGTCTGTTATTGAACAACCCCATGCCATGATTATATAGTGAAAAAAACACATCAATAGCGTTCATAAATTATTTAAACAATGAAAGTAAATGTAATGTAAAATGTAAAGTAAATGTAAAGCTAATTTACCAACATTTCAGAAAATTGATATATAACATTTTGGAAATAAACTCTTCATAAATATACTGTATATATATACTTTACTTTATATATACACTTTACATGTTGTGTTTATATTTTTGTTCAGTATGCTATGAAAAAGTATTTGCCCCCTTTCTAATTTACTCCACTTTTGCATATTTGTGATACTGAATGGTATCAGATCTTCAACCAAAACCTAATATTAGATAAAGGGAACATAAGTGAACAAGTAACACAAAAAGTATATATTTATTTCATTAATTTCATAAACAATGTTATGCAACACCCAATTCCCCTGTGTGAAAAAGTAATTGCCCCCTTACACTCAATAACTGCTTGTGCCACCTTTAGCTGCAATGACTCCAACCAAATGCTTGTTTCAAGTCCTGCCACAACATCTCAATTGGGATTAGGTCTGGACTTTGACTAGGCCATTCCAAAACTTCAAATGTGTTGCTTTTTAGCAATTTTCATGTAGACTTGATTGTGTGTTTTGGATCATTGTCTTGCTGCATGACCCAGCTGCGCTTCAGCTTCAGCTCACAGACGGATGGTCTGACATTCTCCTGTAGAATTCTCTGATACAGAGCAGAATTCATGGTTCCTTCTATTAAGGCAAGTTGTCCAGGTCCTGAGTCAGCAAAGCATCCCCAAACCATCACACCACCACCACCATGCTTGACCTTTGGTATGATGTTCTTACTGTGGAATGCAGAGTTTGGTTTTCGCCAGGCATAATGGGACCCATCTCGTCCAAAAACTTGACTCAAGATTGCCAAAAAGCACCTGGATGATCATCAAGACTCTTGGAAGAACGTTCTATGGACAGTTGATTCAAAAGTATAACATTTTGGACGACATGGTTCCAGTAATGCCTGGCGAAAACCAAACTCT